GCTGAGTGCAAGCCCCTGCCTTTGCTATCTTAGGTTTTGTAACAACAGTGGTTGGATTTTGAGCATGAAGGCTGGAGTCTGCCTTTGAAAGCAGTGTGCTGCTAGGACTCATGGTGGTATCAAGGGCTTTGGGTGACCCGGACATGTTGCTCTGTTCTTTGTGATCCTTGCAGTGTTTCCTTTCAAAATCCTTCTTTCTTCCTGTCTTCTCCATTCTCTCCTTCCCAACTTCCCTCCTTCCTCCTCTGGTTGTTTGGGTTAATGTTAACTATTTATCTTCTTTCTGTAACTGAGTAATTTCTCTCTTTACGTGTGCATCACTAGTTGCTTTTATATTAATCTTTTGTTGGTCTTTTAATTTCTACCATTTTGATATTGTGAACAGTAGCGCCTAAAAGGATGTTTGTGAACATTGATTATTTGAGTATAGTCGTATGTTAAAATAATAAGCTTTGGGAGGTGACAGACGGTATATTTGATAGTGGTCCCATAAGATGAGGTCGTCTAGTGACATCCCAGCCATGTGAGTTTATGTAAGTGACCTGTGATTTTGCACAACAGTGAAACTGCCAAAAGATGCATTTCATATGGTTCAACAGTGCACGGTTATGTGGCTGTCAGTTGCTTGGGTAATATATACATAGAAGTAAGTAAGACACTGGGTGATAAGGCAATGGTGTATTCAGCTTTTTAAGGAATCATCAAACTGCTGTTTTGTTGTAGCTGGTGTGTTTCACATCTAATGTGTGAAGGTTCTGGTGTCTTTACGTCATTGCCAAAACTCGTCATCTTCAATTTGATCTAAACCAAAGCTTCCTCTTGGCTGTGAAGTGGTATCTCTTCATGCTTTGGATTTGTGTTTCCTTATGACTAATCGAGCATCTTTTCAGGTGTTTGTTGTCAGTTAATAAATCTTTTGTGGGTAAATGTCGTATCGAGTCTGTGCTCCTTTCCTAATTTTGTAGATTATGTCATCATCGGGGTGTCCAGATGGGGCCCAGGTCCTTGGTGTCCCAAACAAAGAAATGAGCAAAATACACACAGGTGACAGGCAATGGTTACCTATGGGACCTGATTAGAACATTGTCCAATTTCCCCCCACTGGTCATTTTAAAGTACTTGCAAGGTACTTTATTTTCCACCAAATGATCTTCTTCTGCCTCTTTTCCTTGCTTTCCGGAATTCAGAACCTATTCCAATAAGTCAGATTTACCCATTCCTCAAAGGTAGTACTTTCTGGAAAGTTTACCTATCCTCTCCACTCCCTCCCATGAATTCCAGGTCCTCATTAGATTTCCTGTTTCAATTAGCTTATTAGTAACTGCTCACCCAAGATCCATTATGCATGGGGCATTGTCCCTTTTGTGCTTGATGTGATTGGGTGTTTCTTCTGTCATCTACCTGTGCTTGCCGTCAGATGTGAGTTAATAACATCATTGAATAGTTTTGTATTTTGGTTGTTGTCATAGTCATTATCTGTTCATTTTAGTGGCCACTATATATATATAATCACATAATCATTTCTATTTTTTTGGTAGTCAGGCCAATTCAGTGCTCTGGAGAATACTGAATGATTGCCATGTTTATGAGCTGACCAAAAATATCTATAATATTGTATTGTAGCATTTTCTTTTTATTAGGGTTTTCCAACAATCATTTTTTTATTGAGTTAAGAAGTTATTGCTGGTTTCCTCATGTCTGAGGATACTCTGGCCTGGCTGCTTAAAAATAGCATTAGCTGCTAAATCTTCTGAAGGACATTTTTCTACTGTGATTTTTGTTATAATTTCTCTTCATTGTCCTACTTCTTTTTTGTGTTTAATTGACATGCTGGTCTTAGTCTTTGTTACACATGCAAAGGTTAGCATTTGTGGAACATCTACTAGGTGATAGGGACTCTGTCAATCCCTGTAAAGAAATTTGAGAGAAAACAAACTCACAAACGGTCACAAACTCAGGTCTACAGATAAGTGTAAGTTTGCCAGTGTGAGAACAACATCAAGGAGACCCCAGGATCTGTTCTGCGGACCTCACACACTCGTCCCTGCTGACCCTCACCCTCACTCTGTCCCTGCTGATCTCTCCATCATAATGGCCTCTCTTAACCCCTCCCGATGCCACTCTCCACCTGAAAGGACAGCCCCACCTTCTCTTCTCTCAGCCCAGGATTTCTCTTCCTTCCTTTCTCCCTCTAGTTAACCACGACCCCTCCTGCCTCTCAGCCCAGAATCCCTATTTCAGAGAAGACTCTCCTTCCAACCTTTGACAGACTACATTGGTTTAAATTTACTTTTTATGTCTTGAATTAATTCACATAGCCAGACTTTAATAACACTGTAAATATTTTTTAAAACATTTTTTAAGTTGTAGATGGATACAGTATCTTTATTTATTTTTATGTGGTGCTGAGGATGGAACCCAATGCCTCACACATGCAAGGCGGGCACTGTACCACTGAGCTACAGCCTCAGCCCCTGTAATTCTTTATTTTTAAGCCATCAATTTATCTTTTAATTTTTCCAGGATGATTAATCTATATAATGCTTAAATATTTGTAATCAAATCAATCAATTTTACATTTTGGCCGTTATCTCTGGTGATATTAATACAAAACATCTCCACTCAAAAACATGGACACATGAGCACACACACATCCTTATATTCAATTTTTCTTTCTTTTTTTTCTGGTACTGGGGTTTGACTCAAGGTGCTCTACCACTGAGCTACATCTCCAGCCCTTTTATGTACTGAAACAGGGTCACTAATTTGCCCAGGCTGGCTTGAATTTGTGCTGCTCCTGCCCCTCCCTTTGAGTAGCTCCTTATAGGGCCACCCGCAGCTGCAGCTCTGACTGCTATTGTGGTTGTTAACAGTTGTTTCCTTTCTGAGTGGTGCTGAGAATTGAGTCCAGCATATGGAGCATGTTGGGTGGGTGCTTTGCTGATGAGCTACACCCCTAGCCCACTCAGGAGAAATTTCACCTTACTCCAGCCATGACCTACCCCCCACTACCTGGGTCTACTTGGGGCAGGTTATGTGCTAGGGACTTTTCCCTATTTTGTAATTTGAAGTATCCACTAAGGTTCAAACCTTCCTTTCATCCATCAACTTCCTGAGCCCTTACCAGGTTAAGCTGCTTCTCTGCTGGGTTATGACCAAGAATGGAAAATCCAACACCCCTCCCTTGCCTGGTGCCCAGTGGAACCTCAGTCTGTCCTGGGGACTGAGAAGAATACAGTATCAGATAGAAATTTTCAGATGCAGACAACCAAGTGAGGAGAAGACACAGGTATGGAGCCCACAGGACTTGGAACAACTAAAGGATTGGAGATACAGGCTCATTATTCTGATTATGGGACCTGGAGGATCACTGCAGAAGCTGACAGCTAGTAGTAATATTGATCCATGTTATCATAATCTCTAAAGACTTCCGATATTAGTAGTAGAAGAAGAAGAGAACATGGATATCTACAAAAGTTTTGGGACTCTATCTCTACTCCAGAGATAGTTCATGCATACAATTCATACCACTCCTTTCTTTTATTTTTTTTTCAAGACTCATCTTTTTATTTTGTTTTTTTATTGTGGCAAAACATACAGAGCCAAATATACCACCATTGAAACTACTTAGTTGCATTTGTCCGTTGGCATTAATTATATTCACATACTTGTGTAATCATGGCTATCGTCCATCTCCAAAAATGTCTCATCCTCTGGATTCACAGGTTTGTACACATTTTAAAAATGAATTTAGAAAGAAAGGACATTTTCCCTACCATAACTTGTGAATCTGAAATGATGCCTAAAATATCCAGAGATTGTGAGCTGGAGAAACATCACAGGAGCTGGTTCTGGGGACTTTGCATACATTCTCAGTCATTCCTTCCTAACTTTTCTCCCTTATACATGGTCCATAAAGGTCCAAGGTTTTTTAAACAGGTATTCCTGAGATTTCCACCTTGACTTAAGATAGATATGGCATGAGAAAAATATCCCTAAGATGAAAGAAAAAAAATAAATGCAAATATAATACCAGCAAAATGTAGGACTATGTTTTGGTGACAGTGTCACAAAACAGACAAATGGGCTAACATTCACACAGCAGTGCATTATTCACAAGGGTGAAAAGATGTAAGTCACTCCAATGCCCATGAATGGATATACAGATAAAGTCCAACATACCAAACTACAATAGACTATTTCAGCCATAGAGAGGAGCAAGTGGATCTTTACCAACAAACCAGCCAAAAGACAGGAGGGAAAAAAGAAGGAAGGAATAAATGAAGGAGAAAAGGAAAGAAAGAATAAATGGAAATAAGGAACGTTCATAAAATAACATAAAAAATCAGAGTTACCGAAGGCATCTTATCAGTAAGAATCATATGAACAAACCCACATTAAAAATTAGATTTCAAATTTCAGGTTGAAAATTGAAGCATTGCTCTAATGAACAGTAGGATACCAGAGTCAGTGAGGGCTCTGGGTCAGGTCCAGTATTTTGTCCAACCCAGTCTTCCTTTGGAAAATGTATGAATGAGAGCAAATATCTCAAAGTGTTTTCAAAATTAAATCAGGTCATACAGATAAAGTGACCAGCACAGTCATGATATGATGAGCACTTTGCTTTGATGATTTGTTCCTTTTTTTTTGCTCCAGATAAAGTAAAACAAAATACAAAACAATAAATTAAGTGAAAGAACACGAACATTCTACCAACGATTTTTTTTTTTTTTTAGGAAACCATGCCAACATGTGATAGACTTAAGTCAAGTTGGAAATCTCAGAAGTACCTGTGAGAAACCTTTAAAAACTTGGACCTTTATGGACCATGCATGAGGGGAAAAAGTTAGGAAAGAATTACTGAGTGTGTATGTAAAGCCGTAGATGGTTTAAGGATAGTAGACAACAAGTACATCTCTGGGGAGAAAAAGAACCAAGATCTAAAATCCACAGTATTTGTTTTGGGGAACCCAACGCTCAGTTCTGAGCTGAGTGATCCATCAGGAACAAGACACTGCTCTTTCTACGAGTTTCCGAAGGGCCCCCTTCATATCTTTGTTCCTCAGACTATAGATGAAGGGGTTCAGCATGGGGGTGACCACAGAATACATCACTGAGGTGATCATGGTTCCCTGAGAAGATTGGGTCACGGCAGAACTGAGGTAAACCCCAAGTGCTGTTCCGTAGAACAGGGTGACCACACAGAGGTGGGACCCACAGGTGGAGAATGCTTTGTACTTGCCCACAGAGGAGGACATCTTCATTAAGGAGGAGATAATCCGAAAATAAGAGAAGAGGATCCCAGTGACAGGGAACACACCCAGCAGAGCGGTGGCCATGTAAAGAAAGACGTTATTGACGAGGGTGTCAGAGCTGGCCACCCTGAGAAGCTGAGTCACTTCACAGAAGAAATGTGGGATTTCAGTGCCCATGGAGAAGGTCAGTCGATTCAACAGCAGAATATGAATCAGAGAGAACCAGAACATGATGATCCAAGACATCAGAACCAGGAGGACACAGAACCAGGGGTTCATGATGACTGCATAGTTCAAGGGGTGGCAGATGGCCACAAAGCGGTCATAGGCCATTACAGTCAGTAGGAAATTATCCATTCCAATAAAGGTATTAAAAAAATATGCCTGAGTAAGGCACTCTATGTAGGAAATGTCATTTTTGTCCTGTGCCTGGAAGTTCACTTTGGGGACTGTGGTGGAGATGAAGCAGATATCAATGAAGGACAGGTTGGAGAGGAAGAAGTACATGGGGGTGTGGAGGTGAGAGTCAGAGGAGATGGTCAGGATGATGAGCAGGTTCCCGAGCACTGTGACCAGGTACATGGACAGGAACAGTCCAAAGAGGATGGGTTGCAATTCAGGATCCTCTGAGAGGCCCAGGAGGAAGAATTGGAATAGGCCTGTATGGTTTTTTGTTTCCATAAAGCCGGTGTATCTTCTGGAAAAAGAGAAAAGCAAGTTCAATGAACAGTCAACTGAAACCTCAGTTAGCTCTCACTTTATAATATCATCCTAGGGTGTTGGCCTTCATTCTTTATTTATTTCTGTCAGTGAGTGTGATTTATTCAGTTCAGTGGCACCCATTTCTCTTTCAAAGCATATAATCATTCATAGGGTATCACTAAGTTGCTCATGGCCTTGTTAAATTGCTGAGACTGTGGTCATTGCTATTTCCTTATTTGTTAGATTTTAAATGCCCTGGTGCTGAGTAGGAGTCTGAGTAAATGAGAGTTGTCATTATTATTACCAGTGTTATTTAAGAACTCCTTTAAGATATTTTGAACATATAAATATCTCAATATGATGTGATTTAGAAATGGGATTGATTCCTGAGTCCAGAGTTTGTAGAATAGAGATTTGCCCCTCATTGTACTATCTTTGTGACCTTGAAGGTGTTATTTAAGGTCACAGTACCATTCTCCACAGCAGGAGCAGTGAGCATTCACTGCGTGGGAGGATTGAAATGTGAAATTAAATGAGATGATGTGATTTTCTACTGTGGCCCCGGTGACACACCCAGGGTGTTTAATATATGTGTTCTTCTATTCTGAGTAGGACAACCTACTCAGAAGCCTGGATGTTGAACCGAGAGAGGAAGACGGGGTCACAGTTAATAAGAGGACTTAGGAACAAAAACCATTTTCAGAGGAGAGAGAAGGATCTATGTTGGTTCTGTCAGTTGGTGAGCTTGGTGCAGGAGGGGCTTGGAGGAGCCATGTGATGAAGACAGGGCAATGGCAAGGAGGGACAGAGTGTGTGGGGCCCACAGTGGGGCTTCCTGTGCTCGTCCTTCATGACCTCACACCAGTGAACTCATGTTGATTGGTGAGTCTGAGACTGTGATAGTTTTGTCTCATCATTTGTCTCTCCAGTGACTTACACAGTGGCTGTCACATTGTAGGGTGGAACAAATGCAATCTTGGAAGTACAATAAATATGGAGAGCAGAATGTTTTCTATAACACAAAAGAGAAATTGTCCAACTAATCATATGCCTGGATACGGGCACGAAATTGGAGAGTAATGGTGAATTAAAGAACATGCATTCAAATCTATTTTTTCAGGTTTTAAAAATAGCTCTTGTTTTTTTTAAAGTTAATGTGTGCATTACAGGAAAAATAAAAACACAAGCCAAAGAACAAAGTCCTCCAGTCACAAGCGGCTTACTTGGATCTGTCCCTCTAGGTCGTGCATATACATACTCAATGTCCCATTCTGTGTGATTGAGATCGTAGTGTGTATCATGTTTTCCCACACATTATGAATGTTTTTGATAACCAAGAATACACTACACCATCTCAATTTGTTTATCCTTTCTTGGGGACAAAAATTTCACCTTCCTCTTCTCCCTCTTCACCATTCCAGTGACTACAACAGGCCCCTAGAGGACATATTGGCAGAGTTACAACTAAAACAATGCATTTTCTGAATGCTCAATTTCAAATGAGACAGAGCAACAGAATACACCAAGGTTATTTCATTACTAGATTTCTGCTTCTAAAATATTAGCCAGAATAGATGTCCCCAATGACTTAAAGTATTCCTATAGGATAGCTGGAGGATGCACACCCATCAGTGGCTCACATCACAATGTAAATCATTGCATGCTTCCTGGTGCCCCTCTGCTGCCGGCCTGATGAGCAAGTCCTGGCACACACTGCCCAGAGCTAAAATAATTCCATGTCCAAGATGCATCTTTTCTATCAATTATAACAAAAAGATATTCACAAATTGGCTAACTCACTAGCTCTAATTTTTGTGATTCATTGTCACCTCAGAACATCTAGATAGCATAGATGGTGTGAAATAAAGCATGAAATTTGTGCACAATAAACACAAGTACTTTACCAAAAGTGCACATACAGATCTATGGTTATAATCTAAACCTGTCTTCCAGATGTGGAGATACTAGCAAAGAGCACTTCCCCTCACCCTTCCTCTTCTCCCTCTTCACCATTCCAGTGTCTACATTCAGGACTATGCCTAGTTCCAAGAGGTGGATTAACAAAGGTCATTCCCAGAAGACAGTTCTTCCTAAAATTTAAGAAAAGGACATTTATTTAGGGATTATTTTGCTACTTCTAACAAATTTAGGGCATCAGGATTTATCCTTTAATGCCTAGCAATATTAACCAAAATGCACATGTAACAATGGCTAGATGACCTGAACTAATCTAAGGGGCACAGAATGCTTCTCTATGCATACTTTCTCCTTACCCCACCCACCACCTAGAGAACCTTCAGCACACTCTCCAAGACATCAATTTCAACAATTCCATTCCCCTAAATGGCAAGCATGCCTATGTAGTAATGAAAAATACTTAAAGGGCATTACTTTAGTCGTCTTCTTTTACAATGTGTTGTGCACTTTTAAACATTTAGAAACACTGGATGTTTCCAACAAGGACTTAAATTTCCAACTATACATACAGTATCACTGAATAAACCACAAAAACTTACTAAATGAAGGCTACACTTTGAATCAAAACCCTTCTTTTTTTAAAGGCTAGAATTGGATAGTGTCTTCCAAACAGGAACGTTCTGGCCTAGAACCCTTCCTCTTCTAGTGTCTTATTGACCCAGGGGTCAAATCTATTTTAAAACAAAAAATACAGAATGAACACGCAAAACTAATTCTGGCAATGGAAGTCAGTTTAAGAAGAATATATTTGTTAATAATCGCTGAACTAGGTCTCTTTGAAGTGAAATCATAACAAAACACAACAAGTAAAATTAATTTGAGAAAATTTAGCAGTCATTACTATGAGTAGCAGCCAGGGCTGAGACTGTTGGTAAAGGAAGAAACCAAGAATAATTCCTTCACCCAGTAAAGAATGGTTATTGTCAAACTACATCCACCAAGACAGGCTACATTATAACACTGTGGCATTTGAAAATTCATGAACAGGCCAAGACATTCTCTTCCAACTTCTACCACTTGATATTTCCCTGAACACTTAATAATGTCGATGATCAGAGAAAAGGAAATTGGACTGACTGTTGAGTGTCAGAAAATATCACATGGGGGATCTTAAGGTGAAACCATGGCTGTCGCATCACAGAACTAATAAGAGCTCTCAGTAAGTCAAAGATGCCAGTAATAAAGGTTAGGGAAAACTAAATCAAATTTAGAGAAAACCAGATAATCCCCCAGGCAATTTAGATCTTCACTGAATCATTCACACATAGATACCTGGATGCGGGGAAATCTGTCAGCAGCCTGCAATTTATAGACAAGAGTGCAGAAGAGCAGGAGAGTCTCCAGAAAAAAAAACTTTCAGGAGAAAAGTTGTAGATTCCCAAGATCAGTAGATGGGGAAACAGAGAAACAGATGGAGGAGACAGGTCTCCATGGAAACTGAAGTGCCTTCAAAGCACAAGGACTTCACAGACTACAGAAATTTGATACAGACTTATTCTCATTTCAGCGATAAAACATGATACCCACATTCTCTGCATTTTCATCTTACTCTTCCAGCCTGAGTGGAGCACACCAACTCTCTCCAGTCATGTTGCTGCAGTTTCCTCTTCCCAATGTCTGTCTGCAGGAAGCACCCTGGGCTGTCGCTGAGGCTGAGATCACAGAAGTGCAGGTGGGAACCCCAGGAGCATTATTAAATTTTCTGCCATCTTGGAGTTCAAATTCTCAGCGCTCCTCATTAAATAAATTGTTTTATTTTCTTTCATACTCTCCACACTATTCAGCTCTTTTGGGGTACAAAGAAAATGGCGGAGTGGAAAAGTCTCAGCCAGTTTTTTATTTGTGGAGTCGGCGGCAGGGGAACATATTTCCTTCAAGAGAAAAATCCCATTTTTTAAAAACTTTGGTTTGTTTTATAAATCATAAGCTGTTGTCCCCTATGGAAAGGATAATTTCTTTAAGGAACCGGTCTCAGGAAATAGCTCCTGTCCCATGACTCCATTTGACCATCTTTGGGGATCGTAGACATTATTTCACAATGTCATGGGAGAAAAGAATTCCCTTCTTTTTAGTTTTCTTTACCATTTTTATTATTCAAATTTATTTGTCCATTTATTTGTTTACTTAAGTTGGCATATAAAATTGTACACACACATATTCAATGTGATACTTGGAAATATTTTGTGTCATGCATCAGTTGGATCTAAAACATAACTTTTGCATCATCTTATTAGTTAACGTTGTGGTGAGAACACCTAACATTTTTCAATAATACACTGTATCATCACTAACTATAATAGTCACCATGCTGTGCAGTAAATCTCTTGAAATTATTTCTCAAATCTAAATGTGTTTGTGTAATGATGACCAACATTTTCCCAGCACATCCCCAAAGCACCAGCCTGTGGTAACTACTGCTCTGCTCTCTCTAAATCAACTTCTTAAGATCCAACAAATGAACGGGATCCTGTGCTGTTTGTTTTTTTCATGCTGAGCTTCAGTTCACATAATGTCCTTCAAGGTCGTCAGTGACAGGATCTCCTCTTTTTACGCCATGTGGTATTCACTGTGTTTGTACCATGCAGCCAACCATCCTGCCTGTCTCATGCCTCATCATTGCTTTTTCCCTCTAGTAGAGACTGGCATAAGTTCTGACCTGACGGTGATTCTCCATTGATTGGCAAGATCTAGGGGAAATTACATTACCTCCCGTCTCAATTTCCGAATTAGTAACAACAAGCATTGTATCCAAGGTTTTAATTTGTGCGGAAGAAGGTACATAAAGCCCTCCATACAGTGAAACTAGCCTATACCACTTGTTAGCCCGCTATGATTAGTGACTTCCCATTTTTTAATTTTTTTTCTGTGCTTCTCTCCGCTCACTTTGAACGAAGCCTGCGCACAGCTCCTGTCTGGGCATGCGCACCAGCACTACGGCCGCACCCTCTCCAAGTCAATCATTGGGTGAGGGAAAGGGGGAAACTAGACTCGCTTCCACCGGC